AAAGAGAAAATATGTCAGAGTTAGAAATAGCAATAGGAAAGCCAACACACACGGGGTGGGGGGGGGGTGGAATCTCTTATTTGCCACTACAGGCACAATGCATTAGTCAGTGGGAGTGGTAGCAAACATTAGTGTATCTGAGTAACTCATTATTACCACATGTCCTCGTGTGGCAAGTACGGCATGGGGAGAAGGCCAAGTAAAAATCTCAGGAGTATGAAATGTAAATGAAATACACGGGTTTTACAGGTGGGCATCATAAGGTACTGAAGGGACAACTGAACAGATATGTAATGGAAAACGCTAAAGAGGCCTATATAGCATGCTAAAGAGCTTATTTTTGGCTTATGGGTAACAGAGAGGCATTGCAGTCATTAAGATGAGGTAAAATATTCTCCAATACACTTTTCTTTAAAAAAAAAAAATTATCTATTTATCTATATAAGAATTGGGGTACAGGCCAGAGATGCAGGGGGTGAGAGGATCCACCAGAGACAAAGTAGGGAGCAGAACAGGCAGCTGAACTGAAATACACTGCTGAGGGGAGCATTGAGCAAGTCAGGAGAGGTCTGCTGCACCATGTGGGTAGCTCCCCGGACGGATGGAACTCGTGCTACAGTGGCTGCGGATGGTTTCATAGGTTGCATCTTAACCCCCTGCACCACGAGGGAGGCCCTCTAATATACTATTCTATCTGTTGTTTGTACATCACATGCAAATTTAGTTAAGTATTGCCGAAGTTCACAATTACATTTCTTCAATTACATGGTGTTTTTTTTACTGTATGTGTTGGAATATTTTTATCACCTATACAGCATCATTTTTTTTTTTTTTTTTTTTTTTTTTTTTGATAGAGGCATGCTTTATTTATTGTTTTTGCTGGTTTGTTTGTTTGTTTTGTTTATACATGCACTGGGTACAGTCAGAAGCGCGGGAGGGTGAGAGAACTCACCAGAGCCAGAGTGGGGAGCAGAGCAGACAGAAGGACCGAAGTACACTGCTGAGGGGAGCAGCGGGCGGCAGGAGAGGTCTGCGCGCCATGTGGGACCCTCCTCCAGTGGCCGGGGAGCAGCCGGGGATCGAACCGGCACCGCAGAGGCCGCGGGCAGCTTCGCAACCCAGCGCTCAACCGCTGCGCCACCGGGGAGGCCCTATACAGCATCATTTAAACTGAATGCCATATGGTTTTTATAAGGCAATAAGTCAAAAATAGGTCTGTAGATATTCTGGACACAAATATTTGCCTATTAGGGCTTAAAAATTTTCCCTCCCTTCTTCTTACTACACATTAATCAATTACCTACTACATAAGGAGCCATACATAATGCTACACTCTTGACAAAATCTACATAGTGCGTCCGACACCTAAGTCTAATATTCATCTCTACTCCTATGGAGACTTAATAAAATGCATTCTTCACGGATTTTTCCACACTAGACTTTAAAATGACAGGAACTCTGGTGTATTCCTTTAAATGAGTTTCCATTTAAATGGTTCAATTAAAAAGAAAAGCTTGCATGAGTTTAAAAAAAAATTTCTCAAGAGTCTGGTGAATGTGAAGTGAAGAGGAAGGAAAACAGCTCGGTGAAGTAAGTGCTCTGTAATTAAAGTCTCCAGCACCGAGCAACGCGCAAAACACAAGGAGGCTGAGTCCTACCGACGCAATTCTCAAGAAACTCTCACTCTGTGTGTATCATAGCATCAGAGTAGCTCTTGCAAGAGAGCGTTCCTAGCCCTACAGGATTGTTTCTTTCAGAAAACCATTCACTGCCTATCTGTCACCATTGTTTTTTGTTTTTTTTTTTTTTTTGGTTTTTTTGTGGGACCCTTGCCGGTGGCCGGGAACGATCCGGAGTGGCAGAGGCTGCGGGCAGCCTGGCAGCCCAGTGTTCAACCACTGCACCACCAGGGGAGGCCCTGTTTTTTTGTTTTTTTCTGTTTTCATCTTTCCTAATGCTTCCCCACTTTTTTTTCTTACTGATAACACCCTCAGTATTCTTTAGGTAAGTCAAGCAATCTCTGCAGAAGGGACTAAGGCAGCAAGGAAAATGAACATGTCGGCGACAGGGGCTGAGGCTGACCCACTTGGGGCTGTGGTCCTGTTACAAGGGATGTGTGTGGAAGGTTGCAAGCTCTGGGCTCACCCACTCTGAGCAGGGTGAGAAAATCTACCACGGAGGGATGGTCTTGGCAAAGTGAGAAAGTAGTAAAAGTTCAACAGTTTTCACTCCCTATGGTGCAAGACTTTCATTATTGTGTAGTTTTGCTTGTTTGAGTCATTCCACCCTGTTGCCTTTGTTTGCTCGTCCCTTTCATGTAGAACAAAAGGACTGAATTATTCCCTGACTTTCAAGTGCATAGGAATGGGTGGCTTTGCATGGGGCAAACTTCCCCTTAAAGCTCATTTATTTTGTCACCTTCATTGCATCTTCTGGCTAGAATTTTGAACTTGAAAGTTCAAGACTAAAGAGTACTCTATACAATTTATATTATGAAGAAGGTTCTTCCTTTATTCACTCTTACATTTATTTACTCATTTACTGAGCCTGACTGGGTTGGGTAGAAATGACAAGGTCCTTCGCTTGGGAAGAAGACAAAGTAAGGGGACAGGCCAACACTACAGATATTTACAACAAGAATTTTAAAAGGTAATGAATGTTATGACAATCACAACTTGTTATTACTCTATTAATAATCTACAAACTAAACATCTGGCATGTCCTAAGTAAAGCATAAAGTTACATTTGGCACCTTCGGTCGGCTTTTCAGAACTCTTCTGGAGGATCTAATCAGAGGTCAAAAATGCTGGCACAACCTTAGGACATGAGCATGGAAATTTGTTATAAATGCAGCAAAAGTTTCTGCAATCCTGTAATTAATTAAAATGAAGATTTGTTTCTCCAGATGTTCCATAGTCATTTCAAAGCCAATACAGTATCATACCCTTCCCCCACCCTTGTTGACATTGTATCTTGATGTCTTTGACTCCAGCTACAAAGGCTCCCTTGATCTGGAATAAAATTGTTCACTCAAGTCAAAGAAATTGGTGTGCTTTCAACTATATATTGGTGTGTTTCTCTTCCTATCCCACACATCACACATGTCCACACCAGTTCTCAGCATATTTGATTCTTTTTTTGTAAGATTTATTTATTTATTTATACAAGCACTGGATACAGTCAGAAGCACAGGAGGGTGAGAGAATTCACCAGAGCCAGAGCGGGGAGAAGAACAGGCAGACTGACAAAATACACTGCTGAGGGGAGCAGCAGGCGCGACAGGAGAGGTCTGCGCACCATGTGGCACCCTCGTCAGCGGCTGGGGATCGAACTGGCACTGCAGAGGCTGCGGGCAACCCAGCGCTCAACTGCTGCGCCACCGGGGAGGCTCGTATTTGATTCTTAACAGGAAATCACTCACTCACCTTTTCAAATATTCAAAAAACTAAATGGAAATTGGAAAAAAGCCAATCAAAATTGTCCCAAACTGTCCAAAGGACCAAAGTCAACATATAAATTATGTACACTTACTTAAAAAAAAAAAAAAATCTGGCTAGGAAAATATAAATAACAAAATTGGAACTGTGGAATTTCTTCATTACATAATTATTAATAATGATCAGATTGCCATCAACTGTTTTCAGAAATTCTAAAATATGTTGTTGATATTAGGGAAGCTTTTCAACAACAACCTCAACTAATATGAACCCGAAGTAAAATCAACAGAAACAATCTTTAAAATATTAATTTGTATTTATGCATTAAATTTCAACAGCTATTATTTTTAGAATTTTTCCTCAGCAAATTAATGCGAAGAACATGCTGACTAAAAATATGACTGACTTGTTCTGTACATTGCACGTGACTTTCCAATAACACTTACTAGACTTACTCTCCACGACAATGGACCTTAAACAATTATCATAATTTACAAATAATGGTTGTTGATCCTAGCAGGTACTAAAGCTTGTTCCATCATCCACATTCTTTTCTCATATTGTAGCATTTGTCATTGGTACCCCAGTTACTTGCATACTCACCCATTTTTCTAGTTTAACAACAAGCTACATGAGGGGAAGCATCCTTATCTGTGGAAGGTATAAAAATAAAACCCAAGGGTCTCAAATTACCACACACCTTATGTTCCCAGTGTTCACAGAGAATCACATGGAAGAAAAACAACTCTGTCTCTTTGGTTCTACTTCATCCCTACCTCCTTCTAGACAAAGAGATGAAATTTATAATGCATTCTCAAACTTAGGGCATGACATCCTTAACGACAGAGTTAAAAGTAGTTCAAATAACGCAAAGCTTACCATTGGTTGCAACAGTGAAATGGCTGCCAAATTACTGCAAAATATTAGCAATGTTGAAGTAGACAGGGGTTGAAGGTGGAGGAAATGAGGCACATTTATTTTTATTTTTTTTTTAAGATTTTATTTTATTCATGCATACAAGAACCAAGGTACAGGGCAGATGTGCAGGAGGGTGAGAGGATTCACCAGAGATAGAGCGGGGAACAGAACAGGCAGACTGACAAAGTACACTGCTGAGGGGAGCAGCGGGCAAGGCAGGAGAGGCATGCCACGCCATGTGGGTATCTCCCTGGCCGGCCGGATCAAACCCATGCTGCAGAGGCTGCAGACAGCTTCACAGCGCTGTGCTCAACTGCCTGAGCCACCAGGGAGCCCCAAGGCACATTTATTAAAGGAAAACTTCAGGGTGGCAAAGCAGAAACAAAGAACTGTGACAGGATGGCCAATACTGTACAATCTAAGCAGCATTAGCTAAGAGTGAGGAAGCAAAAACAAGAAGTGCCGATGGAAAAGAAGGGGATCTGACAGTCTCAATAATTTCTTGGAAACATGGGAAACATGGAACCACATGCACAAAAACTGAACGTGGTTTGAAATGAATCTCATGTGATGATGCAGAGGCTGCCACGTTGTCTGGATGGGTTTGTGTCTGTGTCAGCATGGAAATGGGTTACTTTTCCTTACCTCCAGATGCTCTAAAATATAGGGCGGATTTGTCATGCCAAGCCTCAGCATTGCTCCCTCAGGAATCACTTCGACCAATTTCCACAGTAGTGCAGGGAGGCTGGTGCCAATATCTCTGCCATAAGCCCCTGTGTCTTCACTGGTCAACCATATCTCACAAACACCCTCTGTGAATCAAAGGAGATAATTAACAAATCTGTTGCAGAGCTGTTTCCTTCATCATACAGCTGCTCACTCTGTTTAATGCAGTATTTCTCAACACCATTATGCAGGCAGTCTGGGTATTCAATTGCAGAGAGAAAAACAGCTTATCCCATGGCGGCAGTGGGTTATTAAGTTCATTTTATGAACACCAGAGAGTTACAACAATGCTGTAAATTATCAGTGTGTCCTATGAAGTGATTAACATTCACAGCCAATCAGTTCAACCGTGCTTCTTCAAAGCACTTTGATCAAGACTAAAGCTTTAGTCCCATCACAGAGAATACTTATTTTATTGAACACCATAAGCCCCAGAACTGAAACGCTAACTCTATGGAATAGGTACTATGAGCAGTTAACTCAGTGATCAGAATGTTATCAACTCAAGGAAAAATGTCAAGTGTAGTTAAGGTTTAATTCACAAATTACTAATCATGAGGCATCCGTTCTTCTCGTAGTAACTACTGTTGTCTTTATTCGGTTAGGAATAGAGTACACCATATTGCTACATTCAAATAAGGTGGCTGCTCTGTAAACTAAGTGTGTACAATGGCACCACTGTTTACTGACAAAAAGACTTCGGGAAAATGTATATATGTTGTGTCATTATTACAAAGAAACCTGACTTCAATCATTACAGTCAGCAATGAAGTCTTTCCAAAAAGCAAAAGGAAATTCTTGTGGATCACCTAGTATTCTTTAAAGTTAGTAAAACAGGACTACTAAGCGCCACCCAGGTTTTCAAGGCACACAGAATCTTTCAATTAAAGGATTAGCCTATTTATAAGGCCAAATGATTCACAAAGCTAAAGCAAACAATGAAATGGGCTTGTGAATTCTGTTCATGCTAAAGTGATTTGTTGCTGCTGAAGAATCTCAAAACACACACAAGGCACACCAGCAAAGTCTACAGCCTGAACCAAAAGTATGTTTCTAGAAAGAGTCTTAACATTATAATTTTAAATTGTCTTTAGCTGACAGAGCAGAAGAATTTCACAAATATATTTAAATATTCCTAAGAGAGACAACAAATAAAACACATGGCCCCTATAAGAATGTGAACTTAAAGCTTACAGAATTAAGTAGCAAAAAGTAAAGATCTTCACCCCCTTTAATATGTTCCACAGTAGTAATGGAAAAATAAATAACAATTCTTTCCTTTACAAGAGACGTATTTTTCAAAAACTAACCAACCCATATAAAAATTTTTTGCACTTTCCCACCTGTCTATCTTTCTGAGACATGCATATCCTCATCCACATAACATGGAAAATATATAAATAAAATTTATTTTTCCCAAATTAAAAAATCAGTAACTTGGTACAGAGAGCAAGCAGTGCCAAAACACACCTCCATTTTAAAAGTTAGACATGTTTTTAGTACTTGAAAATAGTGTTATAACTAGATGAGTTTTCTACATTAATATTAAACATGTAGTTCCAGATATTAAAACTTTTGTTGGCTTTAACCACTTAATAAAAGTTTTATCCTAAAAAGAAAGAGTCTGGCATGCCCACAGACTCACGTAGTTGTCTTTTAATTTTATAAATATTTTCTGTTCATGGAGTAGTTTTCTATTTAAAAAAAAAATGGGTTCCAATTGGTGTCTTTATTTTAATGTTTAAATGCCATCAGACACTGGACTTGTATAGTCATTTTTAAAAAGTCTTATCACAAAATCCACTCCAGGAAAAAAAGATGGCTAAGTAACAACATAAACGGATTTTAACACACTCTGAAAGGGGTTATAAAAACAGGACATTATCCATGATTTTCCAGTTACTGGCATTTGAGCAACACAATATGAATATTTTAAAATGAACAGAATAATTTTAATTTATAATTTTTCCATCCAAATGGTTCCATGTTACGCCTTATGTAGAGAGAGCGAGTTCCTGGAACAGTGCCTTGCTGTTGCTAGATGAATATAGAAGGGGGAAAATCACTATGAATAGGAATGGAAATAACATCCATGCAGAAAACAGCAGCCAGCTCTGAGGGCTGCATAGGTGGGGACCAATAGCCCCCTGGTGGGCTGAAACTTCAAATTAAATCACATAAAGAGGAAGCAGCTGTAACACTAAATCAGCAACAACAGGAATAATGGTCATGATGTCCCTCAGATCAAGGCTGCTTAAAATGTGTTATAAAATAGCAACCTGGTTTTAAACACAATGAAATGAGAGAACATGGACAAACTGTAAAGCCCCTGGACTTTAGGAGAAGTGCGCATTGCCAATTCGATCCAAAAATTTGTCAAAGATGAGTTTGCTCTTAATGTCCACATTTTATCAGGTTATATTTCAAGCATTAATTCTAATGAGGGTTGATCCTTCAAATAGCGAGGCTGTGGAGAGTTATTTCATACCGAAGATGAAGCTGAATGTGGAGCCCCACGCCTGGCATCCTTTTCTCTGGGAAGTCCTGTGATTACTCACAGTGCAAGCAGTTCTTGTCAGGTCAGCTTGCATATGAATTCACCAGGGAAACCGAAGGCTGCAGTCTGTAATCACTGATGGATATTGGGACACATGCATGCGTCCTTCTCCACACTTAATTGGCTATACATATGGGCAGAAGTGCTTGCCTAAACAGCTTCATTCCTTAAGGACTTCAGTTATGAGCTATATTCCTTTGCACATTCATTGCTTTATTCGTCCATCAAACATTTATTAGGCCCTTACCTACTATGTGCCCTGCAGCTCCTCTAGCTCATGACAGATATGGATTCATCATTAAACTTTCTGTGATCTGAGATTGACTATTATCCAGGAGCTGGTAAGGGGACAATGACAGACATCCTGGGAATGTCACGTACACCCCTATAGGTGGTAGTGGTGGTAAAGGGGAGGGTGGGTATTTAAGAACACAGCCTTGGAAGCCAAAATGCGAGACAAATGGGGCCGGAACAGAAAGAGGTCTGCCTCAAGGACCAGTCTGCAATGTAACATGGACTTTGATTAATAAATGTCAGAAAAACACACACATGAAAATGAAAAAGAGGAATAAGCAGGGAGAACTGAAATAAATGCCTAGCACAGTCTCCTAGGCCTGTAAAAATAAATATACACAAAAAAAGAAAGTGGTGGGTAGAAAAGTGAGAGACAGAAATTAGCTATATTTTAAGCATCCAAAGGGAAATCTTGCTTTTTCCTAAAATTGTTATTCTAGCTGATTTTTGTTCATTTTCCTATCATTGTTCAATCTGACCTTTTAAATGAACAGTAGATTCATCAAATCATATCATACTTTTGCTATGTTAATTTAGGTTTTAAGAAAAGAGGAAATAGGACCTCTCTGGTGGCAGATGCAACTTATGAGGCTGTCCGTAGCCACTGCAGCACTAGTTCGATCCCCGGCCAGGGAACTACCCACATGGTGTAGCAGACCTCTCCTGTTGCGCCCACTGCTCCCCTCAGCAGTGTATTTCATCAGTCTGCCTGTTCTGCTCCCCACTCTGTCTCTGGTGAATCCTCTCACCCCCCACACCTCTGGCCTGTACCCCAGTTCTTGTACGTATAATGGAGCTTCCATACGACCTGGCAATTCCAATAACTAGGGATCTACCCAAAGGACACAAAAACATTGATTCAAAAGTATACCTGTACCCCTATGTTTATTGCAGTACTATTTACAATAGGTAAAACCTGGAAACCCAAATGCCCACAAAGAGATGACTGGATCAAGAAGATGTGGCATATTATTCAGCAATCCAAAAAGATAAACAAATGCCATTCGCAGCAACGTGGATGGAGCTAGAAGGAATTATGCTCAGTGAAATAAGCCAGAAGGAAAAAGAAAAATATGGGATTGTTTCAATTATAGCAGGAATATAGGGGAATCAAATAAGACATCAGTGTAAGAAAATAATTACAGTACAAAACACAACAAAGCAAAAACAGACAATTATAAACCAGAGACATCCTGCAGGGGAGGAGGCGGGAGAGGGATCAGAGGGAGGGAGGGAGGAGCACAGGGGACTGAGGTGATGGTGCACAGGTGCATTGGGGAAGGAAACTCTATTGGGAAGACACCTTATGCGGTGGGGGGAAGCAAATATTATTTAAAAATGAACAATGATGTAAAAAAATTTTAAAAAATCAATATAAAAAAGAGGAAATACTAGCAATAAATGAAATGCATCTTACAAGGGAAAATCGGTAAAAAAAAAAAAGTTATTAGAACTCATTATTTTACCCAACTGATTATACATCAGCATATAAGTTAAAGCATGTAACTTTTTATCTGAGTAGAGAGCAACCTCAACAGCTGGATTCTGATCTCTGTTTCACAGTAATTTGAGATGGCAAATGATGGAAAAGCAGAAGACATAAAAGGTTAATAATAAAAGAAATAATAACCTCAATAGGAATGTCTCCTAACAAAGAAAATCCTTTCTGAAAAATCAAACTTTGCCAAAACTAAATTTTAAAAGACTATGACTCACTATTACTTTTCCTGTGTGTGAGCTTCATTGTAATAAATTAAAATACGGGTGAAGAATGATTTCATCTGGTCAGAGAAGTGTTATTTTTCTGATAGCTCAAGCTTTATCATTGGAGTAAATTTCCACCGTAATTTGTTTCAATTCTTCCATTATGATTAGTGTATGAAAATAGGAACTACAAAAATATGAAAGCAATAAACAATGATTAATGTGATCAACAGTTAAAGAGCACTAGAGGGCTAGAAAATCTACATCAACTATAAATTTTTATTATTTTTATTTATTTATGCATACAAGAGCTGGGGTACAGGCCAGAGATGTGAGGGGTGAGAGGATTCACCAGAGACAGAGTGGAGAACAGAACAGGCAGATTGACTGAAGTACACTGCTGAGGGGAGCAGCGGGCGCAACAGGAGAGGTCTGCCTCACCATGTGGGTAGCTCCCTGGCCGGCCGGGGATCAAAATCATGCTGCAGAGACTGCAGATCGCTTCATAGTGCTGTGCTTAACCCCCTGTGC